CTGGTTTGGCAGTTATGTAATAATGTACTGTGGTCGGTCAGTAATGATCTCCTATTATCTAATGTGCTAAAACTCTCAGTCGCATTAAGATTAAGGGTGGAATGCAAAAATGGTCATTCCCATCACAACCCTGATCTTATGTCAAGGCCAAAAAAAAAAAAAGAGAGAGAGAAAAGTGAGCAGAGATGAAGAAAGAAGAGCCAGGAACACAGTGTGCCCTTAGGCCCTAGGCTTCCTGTGCTGGGAACCTTCTAGAGGCAGGGCAAGATTGATACCAAGACACAAGGAGATCTTGAAAGAATGCTAGGCCCACAGATGGTAAAAGGTGAAAAGAGCCATCCTTTCAAACTGTGAGCCAGCAAAGAGATCCTTCCCTTAGTGCTGGTACTTGGAATGTAGACTTCTAGCTGCTTAGAAAATGAGAGAGTACCTTTGTTTGTCAAAGATAGTCGCTTGTCGTGTTTCTGTTATAGCAGCACTGGAAAACTAAAGCAGTGACATAGAAAACATTGCAGATGGAAATAAAACAAAAACATATGCCCCAAATGATTGGAGAACCAGCATGCCTCACAATAATAAAGCTAGTATGTTGTGGTGTGTGTGTGTGTTTGTGTGTGTGTGTGTGTGTGTGTGAGAGAGAGAGAGAGTTGATTTATTTTCACTAATATCTACTTGACCCTCCTTTCACCCTTTCTGACCCCAGTCTTTTCTTTGTTCTTCTCAGGGGAAGGCCCATTTCCAGGAGTCATTGATCTGTTTGGAGGTATTGGGGGTCTGGTTGAATTTCGAGCCAGTCTTCTGGCTACCCATGGCTTTGCGGTATTGGCATTAGCATATTTTGCCTATGATGATCTGCCCAAATACCCCATGGAGTTCGATCTGGAATATTTTGAGGAAGCTGCCAACTTCCTACTGGCTCATTCCAAGGTACTTAAAATACTTCTCAATTTGTCTTGCAGCATTATTGTGAGATGATCCCATGTGTCTGCTTTGCCTATTTTACCACCTGTGCAGACATGGCATAGCACAGATGACGGTTAAGAGAGGAACAAAACTGTCTACCTTGCTGATTTGTGATAAGATGTTCCGCTTGGTGCTCACTGGCCCATAGACCGTGCAATGATTACTTTGGGTGATAATCAACCTACATTAGAAATGCTTGTAATTTAGTCATCAGCTATTTATTCACAGGTTACTTATTCGCACATGACTTTTCAGTTTTTGCCAGGCACTGATTTCAAATAATGAATTTCCTCACTTTACACGTTGCCAAACCTCAGTGATTTTCTCTGCATTGGGTAATAATGCTAGAGTACATCACTCACGAGTCTTGGGGAAGTCAGAACTAGACAGTGCCTGGCCACCACTACCAACTGTTCTGGAAAGGATCACATTAGAAGGTTGTGGATCGAGTGGGAGAGGAGGTGGAATGGAACTCAAAATCATAAAGAGACCAGGTTTATTGCTTGTATACAGACAGGTGGGGCTTCTTAGATGATAGCTCTTAGCAGCCCTTCAGGTCTAGAACCCCTGTAGCAGAATAACTAAGCAGCCCCAGAGGTCATGGGCTATATCAGCGTAGTGCTATGTGTCTTGTCAGTAGAGCGTCTCTCAGGAAGTGAGCAGAGAGAGAGAGACTCCCGCCCCCAAGGAGGAAAAATACAGGAGTTCCCAGAATTCTCAGGGGAAGGCCATGCCCATACAGAGGCCTCATTGCCATACATTGATTGACAGGCTAGACTTCACCCTTTCACTCACAGTTCTCTAAGTTGACAACAGATTCTATAACTACCACACCTATCAATGTTCTGTGCAGACGTTTTAAGACCCCAGACGCCATATCTTTGATAGTCAGGCACCATTCTCGGTCCTCACCACAGCTGGTTTTGAATTATCTTCTGCACAATTTTGCTCGTGCGTGCTAACCAGTACCTTGCCCAATCATTTCTGCCTTCTGTTGGGTCACCTTTCTTTGGAAGTAGCACAGTATGGGTCCCTTCCATTCAGTTGTCTCCCAGCTTCTTGGCACAGAAGATTGCTTCCAATGTTGTTCTTCTTTGCAGTATTTCAATTGGCATCCCACCAATTCTTGTTCTCACCTGCCTTCCTTTCGATGACAAATATTGCTGATGTGTGAATGGTTCTTGACACTTTTTAATGTAAATGTAAAACGTTTTGCACTTTAAAAGCAAAAACTCCAACCCATTGTACTAAGTCGCTTTAACTCACAGTGATCTTAAATGGGCCAAAGAAGGACAGAATGCCACAGAGTTCAAAGGCTATCATTGTATAAAGTAGACCCTCAGAACTCTTTCTTCTGCAGCCGCTCTGGGTGGATTCAAAGCACTCATCTTTGGTTAGCAATTGAGCTCAAACCACTACTATGTGGGAACTGCCATTGATGGAGAGTTTTACGTGCATTATTTCACTTGATCCTCATAAAAATCATGTGAGGTAGGTTATTATTCACCCCCACCCCACTCCCCAATAGGAAAAGATTAAAGAGAGGCTAATAGGTAACTGTATCAGGCACAGAGCTGGTAAATCTGAGTGGCAGGACTTGCATCTTATGATATGTTGATCACACTGGCTTAGTCAGTCTGGGGCAATGGTCTGGGGAATAGCTCCTTCCATTACTTGACTTGTAATGGGTTTTCCGTGTGTGTGTGTGTGTGTGTGTGTGTGTGTGTGCGCGCGCGCGCGCACGCTTGCTTACAGGTCCAAAAGCCAGGAATCGGCGTGCTCTCTGCGAGTAAGGGTACAGAGTTTGGATTGGCCATGGCCAGCTACCTGAAGCAAGTGGTTGCTACAATATGCGTCAATGGGCCTGTGACTATATCGACTATTCCACTCCGGTACAAGGATCTGGTTATGAAACCATTTGGGGTCCCCGCAGAAGGAGTCCACGTCCATCCCACTGGGGGTCTCATCTTTCGCCACCACGAGACTAACCTGCAGGAGGAGCAGAATCAGCAGAGAGCCCTTCCTGTCGAAAAGGCTCAGGGACACATCCTCTTTATCATCGGAGAGAACGACGAGTGCGTCAACAGCCGAAGACATGCGGAGTACGCGGTGGACCGGCTGAAAAGGCACGGGAAAAACAACGGCAGGATTCTGCTGTACCCCGGGGCCGGCCACCTCCTAGAGCCACCGTATGGGCCCTTGTGTTTCGCATCCTGGAACCTTTCCTTTCCCAGTCCCTTGGTCTGGGGAGGGGATACCATCCTCCACGCGGCAGCCCAAGAGCATTCCTGGGGAGAGATCCAGAAATTCTTTAGGCAGCATCTCGTTCTCTCCAGAAGTCAACTCTGAGCAAGAGCAGGCTGGACGCCGGGCAGGTTTCTGATCATCTCAGAATACCCAGTCATTTCGAAGCTTCTCGTTAGTTGCCATACAGTCGGTCGCAGGGCTCCACATGGTTTTCAAGGCTGTGGTCTTTCCAAAGCAGATGCCAGGCCTGCCTCCCAGGTGCCTGTTGGTGGGTGTGAGCAGCCAACATGGTGGGTGGTGGTCCAGGCTTAACCCTTTGTACTCTCTAAGGGCTCCATTCTGAATCTACTAGAAGGGCCTGGGACAAAACAAAGGATCAGGACGCAAAAAAATATACATGTACTTCTCTTTCTAACTGGAGAGTTTTCCTTAAAGCGCATCTTCCCTCCATAGGTAGACCGTTCTTTCTTACCCAGTGTCACTTATTTTTTTAAAAGGGTGGAGGGTTAGAAAGCTTTTGTATCGAACAAGCACTAGTCAGATCTTACTTTCAGGGGTCCAGTTTCAGCAGCATGTAACATATTCTGATTTTGTGGATTCCATCGCCACCTTTCTTGTTAGGAGATTGAATAAATTTATTTCTCATTTAATTTGTTTGCATTGGTCTTCAATGGCTTGTTATTGAATATTTTCTATTGAATATTTTCAAGGATGACCCTTCGTCTCACCACAGCAGCCCACTTTCCTGGGGATCTGGCCTGATGCTGCGTAGAAGGAAACCTTGTTGAGATTCTATAACCCAGACAGGAAGCTCATTGTCATTGAGTTGCTGCCGACTCATAGTGACCCTACAGGACAGGACAGAGCTGTTCTTGTGGCTTTCCAGAGATTGTAACTCTTATTGGGGGCGCTTACAGCTCTTATAACATTCCATACATCAACTGTATCAAGCATATTTGTACATATGCTGCCATCATCATTTCCAAAACATTTCCTACTTGAGCCCTTGGTATAAGCTCCCCCCCCCCATTCTTGATCAATTATCTATTTGTATTATTATTTCGTATCTTACGCTGTCTGTTGTTTCCCTTCATCCACATTTCTGTTATTTGTCCCCTTTGGGGAGGGGGCCCTATATATCCAACCTTGTGATGGGTTCCCCCATTATCCCCCTTCCCCCTCCCTGATCATGTCCCTACGCTCATGATATCGCTCCTCCCACTAATGTTCCTGAGGGGTTTATCTGTCCTGAATTCTATGTGTTGAGAGCTCTTATCTGTACCAATGTGTGTTCTCCGGTCTAGCCAGATTTATAAGGTAGAACTGAGTCATGGTAGTGGGGTGAGGGGGTGGTGGCGGGGTGTAGGAAGCATTCAGAAACTAGAGGAATGATGTGTGTTTCGTAGGTGCTATACTGCACCTTGGTTGAATCATTCCTTTCCTTATAACCCTTTGGTGGGGGGATATCCAATTGTCTACAGATGGGGATTTGGTCTCCATTCCAAGCCCCCTCATTCACATCAATATAGTTGTTTGTTTTGGGTCTTTTGATACCTGATCCCTGATTCCTTCAACCCTCATGATCACACAGGCTCATGTGCTTCTTTCATGTGGGCTTATAAGCTTCCCTGCTAGATGGCTGCTTGTTTGACTTCAAGCCTTTAAGACCTCAGATGCTACATCTTTTGACAGCTAGGCACCATCTACTCCCTTCACCACATTTGCTTATGTACCCATAGATAAGGGTCAGCAGACCTGTCCACCCAGAACTGCTGATCTGGTTGTTTTCTCCTTGGGTTTGTTCATCCTGTTTGTCTTATATAGATAGACACAGGGCAAACCAAAAACAAAATACCAAACAAGAAAAAAACCAATAGACAGTTTCAGGTCTGTCTGCTGACCCTTATATATGTTTTCTGATCAAGTCTGAAGAGGTGCCAAACCCTGTCCCCTGAGTCAAAAGTCTATTTTCAGGTTTCCTTGGGGACTTGGTTACTTTGTTCCCCTTGCTGCCCAGTTGCACTCCTTTTGTGTTTCACCCTGCTGTGCATGGGGCAGAAGGGGCTCACTTTCTTCAGCGTCTCCAGTGCTGTCCCCCGTAGCGCTATGGGTCAGTGAGGGAACATGTGTCTCGTGGTCCTCTCTGGATTGTAACTCTTTATAGGAGTAGAAAGCTCCGTCTTTCTCCTGAGGAGTGACTGGTGGTTTTGAACTGCTGACCTTGTGGATCACAGCCCAATGTGTAACCACTACACCACCAGGGCTCTTTGTTGAGATCTATAGATTTTGAAAAGGATCAATTTTCAGCTTGAATTTCATGAGCTATCTGTTAAATTTAATAAAGCTAGTAAGCTCACTTAACAAGCATAACCTGGGAATTGTGTTTTCTTTGAGGCGACGGGGCGATAGGCAGAAGTGAAACTGCCTGCTTAGAGAGACCCTGAAGGTGAGCCCTCCATGTGGTGGGAAACAGACACAAGATGCTTGAACTCTGCGAAAAGCTTCTTCTGAGTTACCATTTCTTTTCTTTCAATCCATTTAATGGCACAGTTATTAAATTCTCTCCATCTTACAGGTAAAGAAACTCATCCATAGAGAGTTTATTTTCCTCAAATGAGCACTCTCTACTTTTCATTGTAACGGGCACACAGAACTTACAAATCTCACCACTATGTCTTTGTGTTTAATTTTTTTAGGAGTTAACAGAGGACAATTCAAGTGAGAAATGTTCAGAATATAGTTGTTCAGTCAGGGCATGTTACAAACTATTTTAGGGCTGCCAATAGATGCCCAACGAACATGCCAATCTGCTATAAACTACAACCTGAAGGTACTCAGTCCAGCGCTGTGGGTCAGCAATCCCAGCTCCCTGAATTAAATGCCCAGGGGCACCTTGCCCACAAGGGAGCCTCCTGCCCTAAAGCCCTCCGTTTGACTTGGTTGGTGGGCGAGGCAGCCACCACTGCTGGCTCTGCTGCTGCTCCTGTGTCATTCCTCTGGCGTCCACGTTGTGCCCTGGATCAAGGAGGTTCCCTGCACAGGGCTTATGAGGTCCAGAAAATGCGCTCCACTCCTGGCTCTTACGGGTAGTGAGAGCTCCCCTTCGTGTTTCTGCGATGGTTTATTTTATACCCATTGAGCAGAATGGTCATCACAGTGGCCCCTGTTAATGGTCACTCACAGCTGGATCGGGCCAGTGTCTTTCCCCATAAGAAAAGAGTTGACTGGTAGGAGGTACAGAGACCATGGCTAGGAGAGCCACATTCAATAACTCACTGCAGTGCATTCGCACCAGAGCACGTGGTGGAAGTAGAATGCACCTACGTGGTCTTCCTCCCAAAGTCAATGTAACCATTTCCTCACCCACTTGATAGTAATCTCTGACCAGACTGCATTGCTATTGTTGTTAGTTGACACCTACCTTTCTCCTGACTCCTGGTGGCCAGGTGTGTGCCGAGAAAACCACAGGGCTCTCAAGGCTATGCATGACCTTGCGGAGGCAGATGGCCAGACTTGTCTTCTGAGGAGCCTCTGAGGGAGTTTCAGTCTCCTACCTTTGGTTAGTGGAGTGCTTAACTCCACTATGGACTCCTAGCTGGGGATAAAATTAAGCTGAATTTTTATCTTGCTACACGCACTAATTAAGAGGTTGTCACAAAGGGGTCCATCATCTCGGATGGGCTCAGAACCTCCTTTCAAGTCCGAGGTCCTGACTTGGCACGTGGTGACTTCCATGCTGAGGATTTTGTCTGAGTGACCAGGATATTGTAACCTTCGTACCACGTGCTTTCTTGCCTTGATGTGCACCCACCACCCCCACCCCTCACCCCCATTGCCACTGGTGTGATAAAACCACAGCGACATCTTTGGGAATAATCCAGAAAGAGGTATTTAAAAAACTCTGTCCTAGTATCCAGGGCTTTCCAGAGGATATGGCATCTAGAGCCGAAGAGACAGACCTCAAAATACAGACTGTTTCCTCTTTTTGATAAGTCCTTGAACAAAGAGTAATATGATGAGTAGGAATAAATCAAGTCAACCGATAGGCTGTAAAAATCCTATGAGAAAGTGACATATCAGGGTTATTAAAGATTTAATAAGGGTGTTTTTCTAATAGCGTTAGTTCAATGCCATGCTAATGAGATGACATGTAAATTATGGTGGTATAGCTGGTCTACACTCAAGAAAAGTGATAAGATAATAAATATTGAGTGCATCTTGTTATCACTGATTTTACCAAATAGGTAAAAACTATTTTTTTAAAATCATTTTATTGGGGGCTTATACAACTCTTATCACAATCCATCCATCCATCCATTGCGTCAAGCACATTTGTACATTTGTTGCCATCATCATTCTCAAAACATTTGCTTTCTACTTGAGCCCTTGGTATCAGTGCCTTATTTTTCCCCTCCCCCAACCCGCCCTACCTCCCTCATGAACCCTTAATAATTTATAAATTATTATTATTTTTTCATGTCTTATACTGTCCGATGTTTCCCTTTACCCACTTTTCTGTTGTCCGTCCCCCAGGGAGAGGGTTATATATAGATCATTGTGATCAGTTCCCCTTTTCTCCCCACACCTTCCCCATCTACTCCTGGTATCTCTACTCTCATTATTGGTCCTGAGGAGTTTATCTGTCCTGGTTTCCCTGTATTTCCAGCTCTTATCTGTACCAGTGTACATGCTCTGGTCTGGCTGGATTTGTAAGATAGAATTGGGATCATGATAGTGGGGGGATGAAGCATTAAAGAACTAGAGGACATGTAAATAATAATCTATAACTTATCAAGGGTTCTTGAGGGAGGGTGGGCAGGGGTGGGAGGGGATAGAAATGGGGAGCTGATATTAGGGGCTCAAGTGGGAAGAGAATGCTTTGAAAATGATGATGGAAGCATATGTGCAAACATGATCGACACAATGGATGAATGCATGCATTGTGATAAGAGATATAAGAGCCCCTAATAAAAGTATTTAATAACAAATTCATAAAAAGAACTAAAGGAAAGCTGTGTGTTCATCAGTGCTATACTGCAACCTTACTGGCTCATCTACACACCATTTTTAAGTTAGTTACATCTAACCCAAACTTCTCTTCCCGACAAATGATAAGCTAAGACATAACTGATCACTGTTTCGTTAGTTACACCTCCAACCAGAAAAAGAGTCTCAAAGACAAGGATCAGCTGTGGCTAGGCTACACCTGCCTGCCTCCATACTTGCCTCCGAGGCACCTGAAGAACAGAGTGTTGTTAGGTGCCACCAAGTCGGTTGCAACCCATAGCGACCCTACGCACAACCGAAGGGAACATTGTCCGGTCCTGCGCCATCCTCACAACTGTTCTCAAGCCGGAGCCCATTGTTGCAGCCACTGTTTCAATACTTCTCATTGAGGACCTTCCTGTTTTTCATTGCTGCTGCACTTTAACAAGCACGGTGTCTTTCTCCAGGGACTGGTCTCTCTTGACAACATGTCCGGTGTATGTGAGATGAAGGCTTGTCATCTTTTCCTTTTAGGAGCCCTCTGACTGTACTTCACCTAAGCTAGACGTGTTTGTTCCTTTAGCAGCCCATGGTACTCTTAGCGTTCTTCACCAGCACAATTCAAACATACTGGTTCTTCAGTCTTCCTATTCAGTGTCCAACT